TTAAATGTACTCTACCCCGATAAAAGCTAATTTTCTTAATTTCCTTTTCTCATATTGATTGAAAATTTCGTCCATGAATGTTTAGTTAAATTTATCATAAACACCTGAACAGTTTTATTATATTCCTTGTCCTAAAAATATGAACAATATTATTATAACATTTTGTTTTAAAATTTTGATTTGACGTCTTCAAACGTAATTTATTCTCCCATAACTTTGACTTGACTCAGCAGCAAAAAGATTCCCAGGAAAATATCTTTTTCACAAATTAAAGTGAACCAAAAGCAGACAATATTTTTTATTAATAAAAGCAGGGTTAAGTATTCAGTCGCATCATAATAAACTTTGATGTAAATATGATAAAAACTACATTTTTTTATGAAAGTTTTAAAGATTCATGAAGATGTGAATAAAGTGGTTCTCCTTTTCTCCTGTTGTGATAAACTTGGGTGTTGATTTCCAGACGAAGGAGCAGTGATCTCTGAAAACGGGCTGAAATCTGACCTTTCTCAGCCAGAGAGCAGCCGATTGGATGATGAGATGCTTCCTGGTACGAACGCCTTCAGCTCCGTTTGCTGACGCTTCAGAAGCTGCTGCACCTGCTTTTAGTTTCATCCCTTCGACGTCTTTCTGCTTTCAGTCATTTTTCTCTTTTGCAGAAATAACTTTTATTTCCGCCCTCCACCTGCAGCCCTCACTAATTCCAGTTTAAGTTTTCCTGCTTTAAATCTACCCTGCTGTTCTGCCGCTGTTCTAATTGCAGGTAGAGTCAATGAACATAGATCTGACTCTAACAGGGACAGTGTCTCTCTATGCTTGTTAGAAATAATCTCACTAACGCGCTCCTCCCTGGATTAACACGCTTTGATCAGAGAAACGAAGGCTGGAAAGGTGATGAAGTGGCCTCTTAGTGGAGACGCATTCAGATTGAGCACTTTTTATAGAAACTCTCAGCCTGATGAGCAGATCTAGATTTAGTACGTCTCGTTATCTGAAAACTGCCTGACATTCATTTTATCCTGCATCAGATACTTCTGCAGAGGAAGGAGCAGAAGTTGTTTCTGAGCTCTCAGACAAAGAAAGAGAAGACGAGGGCCAAGGTGGTATGCCTCCTCCACTTCTTCTGCTCCTCCTTTTCAGCTTCTCCTGCTTCCTGCTTCCTCCAGCTTTGAATGAACTCCAGATTAAAACAACCGAGTGAATTCCACTTAATCTAGAGGCATGCAAAATGGAAAACTGCAGCAAGATATTTATTTACAGGAATTAATGGGACCGAATTCTGTGGGTTCTCTTTTTCTCAGACTCTGAGGTTCTGATCAGAAAACAAGGATTAAAATCAGAATACAGAGATTAAAACCAGAATTCAGAGATTAAAATTAGAATTCAGAGATTAGATATCAAAATACAGAGATTAAAGTCAAAACAAGATTAAAAT